CAATAAAAATAGAAAATTGTGACAGGAAAGGATGAATAAATCAACATGCACCTGTTGCAAAAACTACAAACAATTAATTAGCACATCAAATCCCAATCCTTTCTTTTAGTTATTAAAATCTTTGAGAGTTAAAAATAAAATGAAATATAAATACGCAGATGTGCAGCAAGTCAATGTATGCATAGACGCGCTAATGCTTCAAAAAAATAAAAAAAAACGTCAAAATTTGTACGGAGTATGATATAAGAGCACTGCTGAAGATTCCATGAAAAAACGATAAACGAATGAGGAGTGCTGATTTTCTTCAATATTAAGCAGATACTACGAAATTCGATTACATTTGAATCAAAAAAAGAAACAGCGCCATAGTTCACAAAAGGACTTTCATGATGATAGCAAAATGGACAGTTTATTTTATGGGCAAGGATGACCACTAATAAAGATGAAGAAAGAAGCCTTAGTCTACAGCCTGGAGCCTGGAGCGGTGTAATAATCATTGAATGGCGTAAATGATTGAGTGAATCAGTGCAAATATTTTTTCAACTTCTCTCTTCTCCCATCATTTCTTTTTCTTATTTTAATTTCTGCTTTGCCCTTTACTCTGCTACTTCATTTCACCTCATCCTCAACTTTCACCTCTTTCCACTTATTAACTGCCTTGCTCATTTCACTCTTCAATAACTAAACATTATGTGCTTATTCATCCCATCGATTGGTTCCAGTCACTGATTGAACAAATTTTCCAAGTATTAGGCACAAAAATTACAATTTCTTCATAAGAAAATTCGAATAGAAGTGTCATATCTTCGGATGGTATGTAAAAACATGCGTATTGTTTGTAAAAGTTACTTTTTGGTTACCATTTGTTCAGTTGGAAGTAACTGTGCTAATTCACAGTTAACTTTTTTGGGTAGCTATATAACTGATAAACTAATAAAGTAGAGGTTTCCAATTAATCTATTAAAAATTCTTTCCAGCAGGAGTTCGCAATTCTGTTTTTGAAGACAGCTCTTCAGATCAAAAACTTGAGTTTTACTTTTCATATTTTAAAGTGCTATAGTCTGACTTATTACCTTGCAGCAGGCTTTATTTTTCAAATAAAAAGCAATATCAATCAATATTATCACTCAAGAGTTTTAATAAACTAAGAATTTTGCATATTCAGTAAGAGAAATTCAATTCTTTTCGGCAGTCAGCTTGCTGCACTTCAATACCACATGTCAGTAGAGAAGTTCAGGAAATTATTTCACATTCAATTTTTAAAAATCATAACTCTTTGTTTATTGGTTTTCTTTCTTTCTTTTTTCTTTTTTCGAACTTCATAAAAATGTAACGATTCATATTAGTTTCAAATGACTGCTCTTTGTAATAAGGAATGTTTACGGAACTTCAGGGAGGATGACTCTTGCTGCTGGGAAAGCTGTAACACGTGTGATGCACAGATGTGAAGCAGCGAAAACATCTGGCTATCTTGGTGAGCACAGAGTGGAGAAGGGATAAGGGACACTCCTTAAATCAATCTTTTTTCCTTAAATAGAGCTGATATGAATTTCTAGGATCAGGTAAGGGCACAAAATTTGTCTAATTGAATGATGATTTCTTTAAAGCATAATTATGGATGTATTTTCAGATCTCTCAGATTGTGGTGTTATGTATATTGCCGATGCAATATATCTCGTATTGAAAGGGTATGAAATCAATAAATGCAATCTGAGGAACAACTCTCTTACCAAATTTCCCAAGAAAATGATTAAACGATTCAGCAATATGATAAGTTAGTTCCTCGGCTTTATTAGTTCCTTATCACTCCTTTTATTCTTTAATTAAAAAATAATCACATATTGCTTTTCATTTTTTCCACTTTTGTTATAAAAACATCGTTGGATGGGTTTATTTATTGGTTCATTTAAATAGTTTCGACAATAAGCAGCCAGCAAACGTCTCGAAATCATTTCGAAAAAATAAATAAACAACTGGTCTGATGGTGACGAATAAACAAACAGTTATAGTGTTTAACGTGGAGGGCAATGCGATCGAGGAATTTCCTGTTGAAGTTGGTGAATGGACCGAAATGCAGGGAATGAATTTATCAAATAATAAATTAACAACATTTCCTGTTGGTGTTTTCAACATGAAACAGCTTACATACCTCGACCTTAGCGGCAACAACATTATCGGTAACTTTCTCTGCATTTTTATTCATTTCATTGAAATATTAACTTCATGTTCCATATCCAGTTGAGATTTTCGGAGTATCATTCCGGAATGATGTTATGAAAAAAAAACACAATTAAGTCATATCTTCCTATGGTACCAAAGATGAAATATTGTACTTTTTTTAGAAATAGACGTTGACCGCCTGTACACATCATTGCCTAATTTAACGCAGCTAATGCTACTTGGCAATCCTGTGGCAGAAACGGTGAAAATTGAATTGGAAAATCACGAAAAGAAACCGAAAACTTTGAAATTGTTACTTGTTTAGTATAAATTATAAACCGATCTCTCACACTCTTCGCATATTGCTATTATTCATAGATAATAGTGCAACATTGATTTCTTATCTTTTTGCAGATCTAAATTTTCGATCAATTGCTTAAAATGTTTAAAATGTAAATTCTTCATTGTTGTATTATAGCTCTAAACTATTTCAAATCGAAAGCATTTGTGTCACTTTAATATTTGCGTTAAGTAATTCTTTAATATCGCTGTATATTCCTCTGACTTAAAAACTATTCTTCCTACCTAGCTTCTGTAAATGTGAATGGAAGATCTATCCATACACGCATGTAAAATCCGTGTGGAATCATTTAAATCGTATATACATATAGCCACAGCATATTTCAAGATTCTTGTGTTCATCTCTGGTCTCTCCTTATCTTCAAGATATCCCTTAGTTTAGCTGATTGTAATTTTGCGCATGAAATCATAGGGCTCTAACTCGCTGCAGTCATGTTTTTTCGTGTAAATAATTTATGAACTGTAAGCAATAAATTGTCAGATTAAAATACGACTTGAGAAATTCATGTTTGCATATAATGTTTGCTGATATGAATGGTAAAAAGAATATCATTATTTGATTTTTCTTTTGTCATTTCGTTGTCACCGGCATATATCCGTCATTTCGAACAAGTGATATTAGCACCTTCTCCGAGTTCTCTTCCAAATTAGGCTTCTTTCTTTAATGACGCTAATCGATCTTTAATTATGTCGAAAGTATTTTTTTATGGATGAAAAATGTTTATGCACCGACAAAGATAGTAGCTGGAATACATCGCCAGTTCAACACATTTGATGCATCTTTCATTTGACCATAAGGAAGAAAGAAATGATGTAGTAGTTCACGTTTTCTCTATATGGATCAGATAGACTTGACTTATCCCATTTTTGCATATCATTTCTGTACTCTTTATCTTGACACTCTGGTCTTCTCCAATAACATCCAACAGTACACTTAATGCAACCTACATTGCCCATATCTTCATTTAGTTCCTCACACAATCAAATATTTTGTTGTTTATAGACTTACAACTCAGATCATCATATCACACGAAAGTGTCACAATCTCCCAAGCAAATGATTGAATCAGAAATTAAGCAACTCAAAAAGCAATAATTTAGATAAAAGATACATTTGGTATGATATAAATGTCAATACTAGCTTTAGTAGCTATTGAACGCATTCTACAGTGAGAACTGCGGATTTAATGAATTTAATAAATAAATGTAGTATGCTTTTCATCAATCTGTTCAATTTGATCAGATCACCAAACATTGTCATATCGTATCGAATTCTATCAATCAATTGATGGCATTTAAGTGTTTCAAAAGCATTGAAAAATTCAATTCCAATGACAATCATCTTAGAAATCATCTAATTTGAAGGAAGAAAGCTAAATAATAATTAATTTATCTTCAATAATTCGGACCAAAATCGGAGATTCAATACTCTTGGCAGTTTGATGCACAAAAAAGCGTCTCAATTTCCATAAATGCAAGCAATGCATTCACCAGCACTGCACTAACATATAAATTAGCCCATAGATGACAAAAATAAAACAAAAGAAGCATGGAACAGTACCATTTGCAATTATAGGTGGTATAGTCGGATAACTTTATAAGAAAATTCTCTGCAAGATATGAGGGAGCGAGCCGATCATCAAATATTTATTTGCCATTTTCTAGTATGATAAAAAAAAGGATAAAACATTAAATGAGTGTTAATAAAAAAAATGAAACAAGAGTCGGCTCGATATAATGATATCCGGTAGTAGTAGTAGTGTTTCGTATTTGTGAGTATCATGAAGAGATCATTAAATGGTGGATAAAAGGACCTGTGCTAAGCATTATATAAGTAGTAAAAACTACCCTAAGAAGGATAGAAGTAAAAAAAAGTGCAGAGAAATAATTATGGAAATAAGATCAGACAGAAATAGAATTAGGAAAAATATTATATTTATGTGAATAGTTTCATCATCATGTTCAATGTTAAAGCAACATTGAAACGGTAAGACAATAACGATAAATTTTATCCGTTAGTTTTCCTTTTTCTACAGTACTGTTTATGAGTTTAAAAATATTTACTGAATTAGACACTTCACTCTAAAAACCGTATTAATTAATACACAAGTTGAAAGCATTCATCTTTTTTCAAATAATAACCGGTTTCGTTTGTTTCTTTCTCTACAGCGATTGTATGACTTTTTCAGGCCATCATTTAAATGTAAAAGTTATGATTTGTCCAATGCGCATGCATTGGTTTAATTTGTATGTATAAACTCTTTATGTTCATTTTGTTATGAAATGCAACACTCAGTAATATGCTAATTAGAGAAAGCGTATTTTTTAAATATAATTTATGCAAAATGTAAAATCAATCTTAAATCTGAGATAATTTCTGAAATGAGTCATATATTTGATCAGCATCAGTTGTGTGCGGTGGCTTTATCAATTTATTTAGAAGTCATTTTCCTTTTACTGTCAGTTTAAATTATTTTCGAGATGCGTTCTGTAGAACGAGATCGAACTCTAAAGGTTATCTTATTTCCCCTCTTTACCATTCATGTACGTTTAATTTCATATTAATTTCTAAAAAGATTCTTATTAATGAATAAGATTTACTTTATAGCATTCCTTGTTTTTGCCGACATTACTATCTTTTTATTCTATGAAAATAGTAACGATACGACAGGATATCATATTTTTTTTAGAAATTTTAGTAAATAGATGAAAAAACTAATAGTATCATTGTGAATTTCTTTCGGGAAACACTAATCCTCAATTGTATCCGGCTTGTACTAATTCAATTAAAATATATTTCACTAAATTCGGGCAATTCTAAAGATTAACTAGAAAAATAAGCTGTGCCGAAATCTTCAGTTTTACATATTTTGGTTCAATAAGCTACATTTTCTTCCATGCCACATTTATAAAATTACATACACATTGCTTTCCGAAAGTTTACATGTTTAAAAAACTACAATTTGGAAAATCATATAATTTCTGAGGAACTCAGTAATGTAGATCGAATTAAGCATTTCTGAACATGATGAGCTCTAAGACGCTTTAAGAATTTCTCCACAGTAATTAGCGCCTTATGCAGAAATAGAACATAGCACATATTGATTAGCTATATGGAAAATGGAATTATTTTTATTACTATACTGAATTTGATGCGTATCTAATATAACGTTTGCAAAAAACATTTGCAAAAATTTTCTGTCTTAAAACTAAAATATATATTCCTACAATGGTCGTTTTTCCTTCTTCTAATGTGGTTTAAATTTTTTCATGAAATTTTTAATCCGGAAAATCTTTTTGCAAATGTTTTAATTTTATGGTGCCAATGTCACTCAACGATAGCAAACCTTTAGATTGATCGAGTGTCATTATCAGTAATTTGTAACAACGCAACGGACAAGATAATAGAACGCAGCCAGAACCGTCTTCTTCGTCCGATTTTTATCAACGGTGTTGAAGTTGGCTTCGCGTATGCGATTCTATGTTCGAATTCAAATTTGCATACAGCCAGTCTGAACTCGATGCATTTTTATCTTATTCAAAATTAGCATATTTTTTTACCAAGAAATTTGAAAAATTGCCTAGAACCTAGTAATCAGTTATGGAAATCACAGAAAATGACAACAGTTACCATGAAGTACCATTAAATTCCATTGATTAGTCAATATTATTTTCATAACTTCCATTTTAAACAAGTGGTTTTGCCGATCTTTGTTTCTTTTCAACCTAAGGATAACTGACAAAAATGGTTTGTTTAGCTATGCTAAAGGCGCAAATTCGGTCAAAAAATTAAGCGCACGTGGGATAACAATTTGCTTGTGGTATTTTATATCACGTGGTCATCAAGCTCAAGCGCTTTTACCATTTTGTTTTAAAAGCTATCCGGATAAATCGAACCGCTGGGAAGAGCTTATGGCGCTTTATCGCATGAACCTGGTTGAATTTACTCCAGGTTGTCTTTCATTCCTTCATATCAAGCTAAATCCTTCAGTTTGTTTATACTGACGCAAATCTTTATTTGCATGAAGGAGATTACGGAATATAATACTATGACTTTTCAAACCTTTGTGAAACTAATCTCAGCATATCCGAGTAAGAATACATGTTCTCTTAATTTCAAACTTATTGCTAAAGTTTGAAATTAAGAGAACATGCATTCTTACTCCGGAGTTCTTAAATAAAGTCCAAGATGATTCAAAAACAAGAGAAAAACCGAAATAATAAACTTCCCGAACGTGTAAAGAGGTGCAATTGTTGGAAGGAAAATATTTCATTTGTTTGGAAGAGAAATATCTAGCAAATAATGATAACTCCAGGATTTGGTAGTGACAAATACGTAGAAGTAAATCGTATCATGGCAACTCGTACACGTGAATATGGTGGTTGCATGGTTGCGCGATCGCAAATGCATGCTATTGTTGAACAGGATCCAATGCTTGATCGGACTGTTGAACAGAAGTACCACATTTACTACGTTCAAATGTTCAAATATTCTGTGGTGATTCTGTATTATCACATCATCTTTTACTTTTTTCTTTCTGAATATCTAAAAACTTTCGAACATAAAAATATCAAAGAAACATGAAAGCAATTTTTTCTTCACTTGAGATTATATTACCTCATTAAGACAAGGGTTTAGATAATAAATGAAATTTGACATATAAACATATGAAATCACCTACTTGATTCCATTAAACTACTATGTTCCAAATTTCATAGATGGATAAAAATTTAAGAATTTCTGAAATACATGACAAAGTGAGTGTCAATGAGAAGGAGCTGTATTTCATGAAATTTTTTCATCTAGTTTTCACCTATTGAAATTTGAATTGTTTCTACATGAAATTCACGCAGGTTGAAAAATTAATTACAGATTACTGATGCCGTCATTCAATGGAAACGATATTATCTTTCCCATTGATGGGCCCCTTGGAAGGAATGGATGTACTCTTGCGGTAGTGTGGTTATTTTTGCACATTCCTATTTACGTTTAGAGAATAAGATGGACCTTGCACAAATTTTAGAACTTTAAAAGAACATCTTGTTTAAAACATATTCAGGAAACACTCGTATGTACATTCGATGACCCAGAATGGTCACGCTGTGTTTTGCAACAAATGAGTCTCCGTGATCAACGAATCTGGATGACTAACCTGGCTAATATAATTCAAAATCGTAAGCGCTTCTGCTGATTTAAGTTCTTTTTTTCGAAATCCTCTGAACAGTGTCGTTTCATTTCAGCTCAGTGGATAACAACTGCCGGGAAAGTGTGCCGTCATCAGTCATTGAATTTTGTTACCATTCCACCAGGTTATCCTTCGCTCGAGGAACCGCCATTCCAGCTTCACCCTCCTGAGACGAATCCTCCTGACAATCGTGGATTTTCCAAACTTCGACGCCGAACAAGACGAAGTCGCTTTCTTGATAAGTATGTTGTATTTCAGCATGATTATGTTATCACTTGCTTTTCTTTGAAATATGAAGAAAAATTACTTATCGTATGATACACAATGGTTCGAAATCTACAGGAAGATATGAAGATCGAGTAAGTGACTTGCATATGTTTAAAAAATTAATGTTAGATATTTTCAGCCATGGGTATTACCAACGACCTGGCTATAATAACAATTATGTGGATCATTATTATTCAAATCGTCGCAGAAGCTCGATGCCGAGCCACGGCTTTTTCGATACAAACCATTATTTTGTACCTTCATATCGACGAAATCCACGCAAATATGAAGAAGTATTTTGTATTATTAGGAACCATTTTCAATAATTTAGTGGTTTTTTGACAGAAGGCGGACGAGTTTTAGAGTAGAATAAATAATGTGAGATATAATTGAAATTATTATTTGCTGCATATTCCTTATAATAGTGGTTGAGAAATGTTTAACGCCATTAATTCTACACTAAGCAATCAGTCTGCACAGAACTCCTGCAGTTTCAGTCCCATCATCGTGAAATAGATCTGAATATGGCCCCAGCATTTACAAAGAACAACATTCGTGGTTTGAAAATTATTTCTAAATCATGTCTTTTTTGGTATAGAAGAATTATCATAATCTATTCATTATCCAGACCCATTACTATAGAATTTTTTCCTTTGGATTCCTCACTTCAAGTTCCAGGTGTAATTCATACATTTAATCAGCGATGCAAACAAAAATAGAATTGCAGAATAAATAAAATGAAATGAATAGTACTTTCTTCACTCTTAAATTCATGATGATATTCGACAAATCAATAGTTTCCTTTCTATTAAGCCAAAATCGTTAAAAGTACATTTCCGCATGGGTTTTGAATATTAGAGTGTTGTCAAAAACTGTTTCAAATTGAGGAGATTTTAATTAGAATTCACTATTAACCTTTCAGGTTCCCGCTATTGGAACTTCTCACCAGAATTCTTCTAAACAAAGAGATGAAGTTCGGAATACAGATAGTGTTTTGTTTTCAGAAAGTGTTTTTGTTTTGTTTTGTTTTTTGTTTTTTTCAGATAATGTTTTCAGAAAAAAGTAACTTACATTGGCCGCCCGAATTCGATTTATCGTTTAAATGCTCCATCGCGCAATTCGACTAACAATGATCCCCGAAGTGCTGGACCTAGTAAGAGACCGAAATCGGAAGCAGCCGATAAACGTAATCGTCTTACCAGTGTTTTTGGACATGGCAAAGCAAGTTTTGAATTTCAAGATTGTAAATTGCCTTAATTGAATTGATTTAGAGACCTGATTTTTTGATTTTTTTATTTTCTATCCTTTTCCTTGTTGAAAAAAAATAAACTTATTTTTTTGATTGAAAACTTGCTGTTTAGCAAAATATTGAAACAATATAGAAATAACATACAAGGAGAATATTCATTTCCAAGAACTTTACAGGCTAGGCCAATCTACAACCGAAACCCAAATTTAATCAGAGCGAGGGATGGTCTGAACAAACTTTCCGATATACTGGAGGAAAGTGATCAGGAAGAGAAAAAACAGGAAATAAGAGATGAGGACAATAATATGAAAGATAAGGATGAAAAACAGAAACAGGAGCAAGAAAAGAAGCACGATGAGGAGCAAAGAAAGGAGAAGGATCAAGAGCAAGAAGAGCAGAATCAGAAGCAAAAGAAGGAGCAGGATCAAGAGCAAGATGAAGATGAGAAGGAGGAAAAAAAGGATAAGGAGCTGCCAGAAGGCAATGATGCTCCAGAAGAGACCAAAAATCACTCAATAGACGGTAAGAAAGACACGAATGGTGCTCCTGATGACACCGAGGGAAATCATCAGCTTGTATCGGGTGGAACCTCCCTCATTAAGAACGAAATTGTCATTTGCTCTATTTCTAATGATGTTGAGTCCGCTGCTGTTACGACGGCTAATTGTGATACTGAAAATGATCTGATTAACTTCTCGGACTCTGAACTGGAAAATGGTGATGAACAGTCTCTCCATGAAGCAGAAATATTGATGTAAGCCATGCTTCCCCAATTTGCTTGCTCCATTCCTTTTATGCTCATTCATTTTATTTATGCAGTGCAGAATTGATCTTCATATTTAACTACAGACTGTCTTAAATAAACATTTCATTTTTCTTTTTCCCTTTGTATCGCAAAATCACCGTTTGAAAGGTTAAAATTGATTTATGAAAGGTGTATGAAAACATCGATGACAACGAAAAACATATAAAAAAATTGTTTTCTGGAATGCTCGTTTTTCACCTTTTAAGACGATAGATTTGATAGTCTTTTGAATTGCTAATCTCAATTAAGAAACAAATGTATTTTCATGGCCTGTTTTTAAACATGATGTCCTTAAATATCGATTGAGTGAAGCAAGTTAGTGGTGATTTAACTGTGAGTTTTTTGGTCAATTCAAACAGCAGAATGCTTTGAAAAGTTGGTATTGCTCCATCTCCATTTATGACATTCTATGTAAGGAAAGGATTGAATGATAGAACTCCGTTAGTAAACAGTTCGAAATTGATGGCCTACAATGCCTGATGAGATATTTGAACTTTTATTGGTAGTCTGCATTTTGGGAAACTTCCATTTGGCCTCCCGCTGAACAGTTCAAAAATGAAATTCTGAAGGTCTCCGATTTTTAAGAAGGAACGAATGACATCCAAGATCAATTTTTGATATAGCTTTATGGCGATATTAAAAAGCCACGAGGCATGGGTATGAGCCATTTCAGCGGATAATTTTGCCGGAGTTCTTTGAGGAAGCGATGTACGTCTTCGATTGCATTTACAGAGCATATGAAAGCAATCCACTATCAACCGAATTCTTTAATATCTTCAACTGTGATCCAGAAGAGATAGTATAGAGAACAGTAGCAGCATTCGGTACTCCTACTCAGTAAGCTTGAATCTCCTACGTCTTTACTCCTGATTACTCCTGATAAATTCCCGGATTGTCCTACCACACCCGGGAAAACATTTTGCATTTTATAACTATATATTTTTAAAATGCTCAAAAATTTTATCGCACCATGTACAATATCTACGACACTTCAAACGAAACCAGGTTGCAGTCGTTTTTTTTGTAGTATTATATATATAATTATATAAAACAAAATTGATATTGTATATATAAAGAAAAAGGTACAAGTTGCACAATATCAAAATTGTAATTGATGAACGTTCACTAACAGTTGTTTTGCGGAATTAGCAACAGCGAATGCAGCGGCGCATGTATCATTTACGCTGAACATTGGTGCATTACACTTAGCAGATAAAATGACTGTTGAATCAGACATTCTTTGTAAGCACGCTTCAACAGTAGGAGTACGTCGTTCTTCCGGAACGACTGTTAGGATACGATTTATTAATATACCAACCTGAAATAGTCTATAAACCACGGGCAAACGCTAAAACAAAACAATGAGATCACTTAGTACACTGCTTTTGCAAAATTACAACTTGTTTCAAACATAACAGTAAACGCGACAGAAAATCAAGGTGAATACAAACTTTATCCAATTCTCAGTCTTATAAATTCCACATAATTATTGAAATTATAAAAATAAAAAAACAAACTGAGTAAGCATGATCTGGTGCATGGGCTTGCAATTGTCCATATTGTGCATCTGCTAACAGAAGCTTAATCGCATGTGTTAACTGTTCCGTCTCTGCTATTAAATCGTCGGTAAACACTAAAAATACCGAAACTTTGACATCGTTTAATGCATACGAAATAGCCTCTGAAGTTTAGAATTAAGTATAATTAAATGCTTTAAACTCACCGTTGTACGATGCATCACTTAATTAATGCAAAATAGCAGCCAGAGAAAGAAAGTTCTACATAACGATGAAACGCCATATTTTTCAATTCATATTCGGGTAAGTCAATAGAGTATTTCTCAAAATCATGTAGAATTATGAGTTATTGCTTTTAGGTCCAATATATCCACTACACTGTAGTACCAGAGAAAAACATCAGCCATTGCAATACATTTCTGAACGTCTCATATTTCCAAGACAAAAATACAGAAATAAGTGGGATATTTCTTTACAGCATATAAGTCACGCTTTCACAAAGCCGAAAGAATAAAACCAATAAGAGCCTATGACTTAATATTCAAATATGAGCAATAAAAAAATAATTTACCACTAGCACTACGATACGAACCACGTATTCTCTCATCATCAGTTCTTTCATCAACAGCATTTAACAATTCAGTTCTCTCGCGACGTGAAATTTCAACACAGGGATCCAGACTTTCAACTCCACTACTGTAATCTGCCTGCTGCATCGTGCCTTGCCTTAGTGAAAATGAACGCTGCTGCGCTATCGTTCTGCCAATAGCGTTCACTGAAGACGCTAAGCCAGAGCCATGCCGACGACTGGCATGACCGAAAAAACCATGAATATCAGGATTTTGTAATGCTAAATTTAAACAAGGAAGAATAAAATTCAATATGTACAACAAATTGAAATTAGAAAAAGATATCTATTTACTAGATAAAATATATAGAGAGAATAGCTCAATAGATACATTTACCAGCAGCTGGTTTCCCAGAAGATGCATGATAGCTTGAAGGGATATTCTTACTGCCTAAAACAGCAGTTGAAATTGAGGTTACAGGAGAAAGAGCTGGAGCTGGAGATGAACGCCGTCTAACCAAAACCTAAAATAAACTCCGTTTACAGAATTTCCGAAATCATGATAAAATAATAAAATGATTCGTACCAGTAAAATATAAATAGCACAGAAATTAGAAATGAGATAAATCTATGTAAAAAAAAATCATATATAAAATTCTGAAACCTAATTCAGGAACATTTTGCTACAACTTCATTTCTAAGTAACCCACCTGTGAGCAAGTGGCTTGCACTTTTTTAAGCTCATCGTGAACATCTATATTATCCGCATTTAAACGATCAACACTAGATTGCAAATGTGTCAACATCCTGAAATTAAAAATGTGACACATAATAAAAGCAATAACGTAACAGCCTTTTAAATCTTCTAAGTACAGATTGAAATGTCAACATTTATAGATCAATATCAACACAAAATTGTGCTGTTTGTCATTCAAAATTCCCGTTCACTCTCAATTTCTCCACATAGAACTTAATTGTATTAACCTTAAAATCTGCGTGTTCGCCTGCTGAACAGCAGTGAGCGTGCCTTCAACGCTATCTACCTTTTCTTTCAGCTCCAAAAAATCATCAATTATGACAGGACCTGTCTCTTGCAGTAAATTACCACTGTCATCACTTTTTCTTTCCGATGATTTTCTTAAATTTATCACCTTTATTAGAAAGAATTCAAGTTCGAAATAAATAATAAGTGATTTTAAAAGAGATAACAGCCAACAAAGATAATAACGAATTCTTTAATATGTCAAAAAGGATGAAGAACCTAGTACTTCCTGATGTACGCCACTTTCCATTCCGTAAACTGTCAGCAACCTCATCATAATCTCTATAACCTTCTTCACTAAATGAAGCAATATATCTGTAACATGCAATACGTCGAATGAGGAAAAAAAATTATTTGGGACTAGTATCTTAACAAGAAGCCACTGCTAAACACAAATAAGTTTAATAAAGGAAAAAAATAAATCCTAAACATAAGAAACATGTCAACACGCTTAAACAATTGCCGAATACATGAAAAACATACTCGGAAGTGCCCATGGAACTGACATTCAAACGGTCCACACTATCTGAAGTTTTTTTCAACAGGTTTTCAGCGGAATCATCTGTGTCACTTTTCAGTGGTAAGCCATAATATCTAGAATCACGTATTTCAGAAAACTAGCTGTCTTACTTCCTTAATTTAAGATGATAAATGTGTGCAAAGAAAATGTTCTTACTTTTATACATGGAAAGAATCTTAAACAGATGCATACAACAAGAATGAGGGAAAAAAACCTGTTCCTTTTCCTCACCTTCGTTTGGCTTCACTGAGAACATCTATGATTAAAGTTGCAAACCCTCGCATATCACATTTTGCGAGTTTCTGGCGGAGTTGGTTACGTGTAGCTGATAATTCAGGATTGGGCTGCAATATACGAGGGCAAGATTCACTTCTGGGAGGCTAACTGCTTCAACTGTAGTATAAAACATATGATATGCGTCTATGATTAAAATAACACAATTACTAGACAAATCTTCAGAAAAATGATAAAAAGAATACCGGCAAAAAAACAGCCACACAGTGGCTGTTTCCTAATGAGAAAGGTTGGCTTCCTTGAGTGGTAGCATTCCAAGCTGCTACCGTTTCTCGGCGATCTACCTGTTAATTTAGATTATTTGTTTAAAACTTGTTTGAAAAATAAAAATAAAAAAGGTACAACTGCAAATATATAACCTCATCATAAACATCTTGAACAATACGTTCAAAGTAATACGAAGGAAGGGAACGAAGCCGTAGCCTAGCTGATTTCATTTGCATATTTTCGGTGATCTGTCCAGTAAGCTCAGGAATCAAAAAATACTGTTGCCTAGAGTGATCTGGTCGTCGTCCACATAAAAACATTGTTAAACGGTTGGTAACTTCAAACTGCAGTTCTTCCAATCTTGCAGCAAGTTCGGTCTAAAGGAAGACTTTCACCGAATAAGAAATGCAGCAGATGACATATTACTCTTTCATTTTCATCACAAAGCAGTATGGTGGACTAATTGAAGCGGATCGATAAATTAACTGAACTCGTACTTCTAAAACTAGACTTCGAGGAAGTGATAATCAACGAGTTATCAGCGACAACAAGATTGAGTGTTAGAACGAATAAACCAAGAAAAAGGACCATACGTAATGGTCGGGTACTACAACTAATATGTAAAATTCTGTTAAATGCAACTTACATGATTTTCAAGCTTTGCTACTTGAGAAGGAGTCAAATCTATTGCATTAAGCTGAGCAGGATCAGCTCCATAAATCCAAAGTAATTCAACCTGAATATTACAATGAAAATTAATTAAAGCACATTATTGTAAGTGAAGAAGTGATTGTAGTGATATTAA